TCTATAGTTACGGTACGATTTCTAGTTTTGTTCCGATTCAAACTGAACCGGTAGCCATTGCCTAAGTTTTTAAGAGCAAGCAGCGATAGAAAAAAATAAAAATAGAGAGATTGAAAAAAAAAATATATAAATCACTATCTTTGTTCCATAATAGTTGGTCACATTTTAGAATTTCTAATCTAAGAAAAACAATTGAAAACTTGTCTAGGTTACAATAATTATTGAGTTAAATTGACTATTATTACTCTTAATTTTTGATACTAATTCTCTAGAGAAAAATTATTAAAAGGGTAAATATGAGAAAAAAATTATTATTCCTTCGGGGAAAAAATTTTAACCAAAAATCGGCTGGACAAGTATGTGAAACGGAAGTAGTACTTTTTTCTGTCTTCAAAAATATTATTGTTCAATTTTAGGGTTATGTTTTTGTTTCAAATATGTATTGTTGAGTATTTTAAAGGAATAATAAATAACATTTTTACAATTTTTTACCCTTATTAATACTTCATTTAAATCAATATAATGGGTGGGTGAGACAAAAAGACTAATTTTTTGATCAAAATTACTTTTAATTTTTACGGTTATAATTTTAGGAGGAGAATTAATTTTTTTTACACTCTTTCCATAACAAGAATCTTAAAACAACTAATCAGTTCATTGGACCTCTGAATGAAAAAAAATATAAATAAATTCCTGATAATTGATTTATGTTACCCAGTTAATATTTTAACAATACTTAATATTAACTACTGCCTTCCATCTCAAAAATATAAGTCGTTTTTTGGGTGATTATTCTTTATCCAAAACATAGTCATTGTTGAGTATTTTTAAGAGTAATAAATAATATTTTTCAAATGGTTAACCCTTATTTACATTATATACAATAAATATTTCACAAAGTAACTATTGATTTTTTGCGATGAAAAGATTAATTTGATCAAATTAACTTTAATTTGTTATAATTCTAGAAGAATTAAATTATTTTTTTAATCTTTATAAAAAAACCTTAAACGGAATTTTATATCTTAGCAATTATAAATTGTATTTTTATTTTTTCCATTAAATAAAAATCTTTATTGAACAGAATATCATCGGGGCTCGGCCCAATTTCATTAACTTAAGGGCCAACTTAGGATTAAATTTTTTCCGTTTTTTAGGCGTTAGGCCTCGGAAAAATGGATTTTGTCAATTTAAATTAAATTTTCAAAAAGTTTTCAAAAATAAAATTTCGGATTATTAACACTTAATAATTTAGCATTTCTAATTCTAATAGGTGAATTCTGAGATTAAGTAAGAATACAATTAAATTGAGATCTGCAGAGGTTCTTTTTAAGAGAGCAATTGCCCAGTTAAAATTAGAGGGAGAAAGTTCATTAAAGCCTTCAACATTTAAATAGAGGGGTCTTTATCTGCACAAACTGATTTAATTTACCATTTTGTCTTCAGCCATTTTTACGGTTTGATCCCTTAATTATTAATTACCATTCGATCATTATTAATATCACACTCTTACCAGAAGTAACATTGGATAGTGCCTCACTGCTTACCTCCTATCATTTTTATTTTTTTAAAAAATTGTTTATGCTATCAAAATACTATTTTTTTTTTCTATGATATTTGTCACATTTTGTAAATTTCCGTCCCTTTAATAAAATTATTGAAATTTATCTAAGTTATATTAAATATTGAGTTAATTAACTATATTACCTTTAATTTAATAATATTTCATCTAAAAAATCATTAAATTGAGGTAAAAATATTTGGTCATAGGGTAAACATAGAAAAAAAAAATTTATTTTCCTTTTTGAGATCACAAATGTGACAAATTATTTTGTAGAATAAACTATTTTTCTCAAATGTGACAAGTATTAGTGGAGATTGGGAGGTAGATATTGTTTTTTTTTTTTTAATATAAGAAAACAATAATGAAGTAAAGTATTCTAAAAAAAAAATTTAATAAAAGATCAGTTAATTAAAGACCAAACATTAAAACTTACACATTTCCACATCAAAATTAATTCTTTTTATACCATTTAATTATTTAAATTTACCCTAAACAATAAAATAGGTGTGATATAATTTTTTTTTTTTAAAGGAAAATAATTCATCAATTTCAAATAAGGAAATAAAGTATTCACGATCCCATACAAAATTAAACTCGTGGATGTCAATAAATGAAGAACACTATTCGCTGACTTTTCACAAAATACAACCGAACATGCACAAAATTTCTTTGAATTTAAAGACTTATATTCTAAAAATGACGACATATCAAAATTTAAGATCTATCTGAAGAAGCTAGATTCACTGCTTGCGACCAACAAGAGAGGATCCGTTCTCAACTTACAAACATTGCTTGAGCCATTAGTTTTAGGAACACCTATCAATTACATGCTGTAGTAGGCATCGTACCAATCCAATTATAAACAATGTTTTTAGTTTTAAAAGTTGATAATATTTTTTTGTGCGGGAAACAAAAGGACAAAACAACATTTTTTTAAAAGTTTTTTTTTATAGCTTAAACTCGTTTGTTTCCATAAAATAACTGATAGAAATAATTCGATTTACTGAAAAATTATTCCATTGGAAACATTTTTTTTCTTTGAAAATATTTTGCCAAAATGAGCTTATTTTTTCATCGTTTGATTATTAATTATTGAAAATTAGTTTTTTAGAAAAAATATTTAAAGACTTTATCTCATAAGACCATGAAAAATATTAATAATAATAGAAATTTTATAATTTAAAAATTTTATTGTTTAAATATAAAAAAGAATGAAAAAAATATAAATTATGGAAAGCCGCGCGGTTGGCCTGTAGTGGTGGCCGCCGGTGATAAATTGATAACTTGGTGTTAGTGACTAGTGATAATTAAATAAATTAAAAAATTATGAATTTTTTTAAGGTTTCATCAATATCCGGAAAAATGTTTTACTCTCTGAAAATGGATCTCGAAAATGGAAAGTTATTTTCCTTAAAAAAAAGACTTAATTTTTTTTTAACCAGAAAAATATTTTCCATTGACTTATTTTCTTGAGCGCTTCAAACAACAGAAAATTGTGGAAAATATTTTTTTACAAGTTATTTTACGAAAACAAATGGAGTCTTAATTGAGGAAAAAAACTTCTTTACTTTTACCCAACTAAGGGCCTCTCAAAATAATAAGGCTTCAACAACTACTGGGTACTGTGCACCAAACAAGAAGACAAGTTGCACGCATTCAGCACGGTTCCTCCTCCATTTCGCAACACTCAACTTTCACCAACCTGACTAGGATTGGAATAATTAGCGCATATTTGTTAGTAACGATTAGTTGTTTGAGCAAATTTTCATAAAACGTTAAAAGCTAAAAGCTAAACGGTATAAAATATAATATTACCGAACACCGTAAAAAAATATCGTTAAGCCAAAACGCTAAAAACTGTTGGGTTTGGGTTCCCTTCCTATGTGGTAAAAGCCCATATTTTGAAGTCCACTAAACTAATTATTGTTTTACATTTTTGCCCCTCAACTAACAGCCATATTTCCACTAACAGCCATATTTTTGATATGTTTTTTTGGCTGCTATGTGTCGACACATTCATTCACAACCGTGTGAGAAATAGAAAGGACGAGGAGAGGAGAGGGTTTTTTTCTGCACAGCCCCATCTAAAAGGCACCAGCATACGTGTTCTGGAGATGCCTGGAGTTCCCAACCATTGGATCTTTTGTGATTTGGATATGTTGTTCTTTGCTCTCTGTTCTTGATTTCACCGAAGGGTTTTGATTTTGGAGGTTCAGATTGTGATTTTTGGATATGTTGTTCTTTGCTCTCTGTTCTTGATTCTCACCGAAGGGATTTTGATTTGGAGGTTCAGAGATTGAGTTCTGGCTCTGAATCCAAAGCTGTCCTGTTTTACTTCCAGCTCTGCATAGCTTCATCTTCTTCGGCGTTTCGGCAGTCATCCTTTGTCGGATTGAACTGATTTTTGGTGAGAATGTTCCTAACATCCAATTCTAGATTCTAGCTGATCATTTTAATTTTTGGATGAGTAGAATATTTTTAAATGTATTAAGAACAGCAGCTGTGTTTTGTGATCACTCCATTGCGTTGCTACACATTTGTTTGTGATTGTTTGTGGTATAGCTACATTTTTTGTGCTTGTAGCTTGCTGTAATTTGTAAGACAATATTTGTGATAGTGAACTTTATTTCCTTGGACCGGAGGAGAGGTCCCGTGGTTTTTATCCTTCACACCGGATGAGGAGTTTTCCACGTAAAAAGATTTGTGTTCGTGTGGTGAATGTTGTTTTTTGATTGTGCATGATTTGGGACAGCTTGTGTTGCTTGAATTTGTTGCTCATTATTACTCCTAATAGATTCATTCAAGTGGGGAAGTTTTTATTGTGAAGTTATTTTGTGTTACTTCCCATCAAAAACTACTCAAAAGCTGATGCCGCACTCACTTTAGAAGCATCAATATTACACTTAAGAAGCCTAGCAGGAGCTTTGGACCTCTCCCAGGTTGAAGGTTATGGCGTAACTGAGAGAATTGCCAACTAAAGAACCAAACAAAAGCTGAACTTATCTGAGTTGCTACTTGAATACAATAACCTTTCCACAAAACAAAATTTCTATATATTTTGCCAAATTATCCACATAATTAAACAGAAATTGTGAATATAAATTGTAGTCTCTGCAGGCAAAATAAATTACAATTTTCAAATTAATATTCTATTATAATTTAATTTTTGCAACACATTACTTGAAATAAGAATAATATATATAGTGATAATTTGGAAAACAAATTATATTTATAATGGTAAGTTTAACCATATCGATAACAAAACTATGCCATATTCATTTTCTCAGCTAGGAAAGTTATCTAGAATATCATTTCCGGTCTTCTTGGATTAATGAGCAGTTGGATGATTTATGTTAATTATTAACAAACTATGTTAGCTACTAATTATAACAAAAAGTACCAATTATCACTAACAGAGTGCTTAGTATGACAAAAATAACCAGTCACAAAAATCAGGAGTTGCTGATATTAAATTTGTAGCTAGGCTACATTCTCAAATAGAGATAAATTCAAACTACATAATTATTATCACTTAACAAGATCCTGCATATTTTGAACAAATTTATCAATATAACTAGTCATTATCCCTTTACTTACCATCGTTTCCCTCCATTTATTGTGATTCTTCTTCACCATTAAGCCCACTTCGCTTTCTTTATCCATAACAGACTTAATAGCTTGGCTTAAATTTTCTTTAGAAAACCATCCATTTTCATCTCTTTCCACTTCTACTGCAACTTTCAACTCTTCAGCCATAAATCTTGTGTTCAAAATTTGGTCACCCAAGTGAGGCACTAATACTACTTGACAATTACTCATCAAAGCTTCCCACATTGACCCAAACCCACAATGATTAACAAAACATCCTACTGATGGATGATCTAAAATCTTTAATTGTTGTACCCATTCACCACAAATGATTCCTCTACCTTTTACCCTTTTCTCGAAACCTTCCGGCAACGCTTCTTCTACTGTTGATATGCCGGCCGGTGGTTTTATTGCTACTAGAAATGGCAAACCTGCTAGTTCAAACCCTAAAACCAATTCTTGAAATTGTTCCTTTTCTAATACTATTTGACTTCCAAATGCACAAAAAATAACTGAATCTTTTTCGAACCCATTTAACCATTTATTCCAACGTTCTTCTAATGGTGCTTTGCCCGGTTCTGGTATAACCGGTCCGGTTAAAAAAACCGGCTTTTTGTATTGACTACCAATATAATCACAAAACTTTCCTTCTGTTTCGTGGCATGTTCTAATAGCTAAAGCATCACTTTCTTTCATTGCATTAGTGATTCTTTCGTAAAAAGTAATTCCTTCGCCAAAAGGGTACGATACAAATAACAAAGACCGGACTTCATGCCTTCGAAGCACAACCGTTGATGATGGATAACCACTAGGCGGCACCGCCAGTTCAGCCTCCGTAATGGGTTTTTCTAAAGTTACTTTACGTGCCGGATTTAATACTATAGCAAGAGATGCCGCGGAAACCACAGTATAATTTATAGCTTTAATACCAACACTTTTGGTTATTTCCGGTATCCAATGGGCAACATCATAAATAACCAATTTAGGTTTCTTTTCATGTATAACTTTTTCAACCTGATCACGGGTGCGGTCCATGGCTATGGTTAGAAAATGAGTTAAGTGGATAGGGATATCGGAGGCTGTCTCCGTACCGGCTGGGAGGCCATCAACCGGAGGGATGATGAGAGAATGGAAAGCAATAAGATCGGGGTAAAGATTGAAATGTTTTAATTGTTGTATAGCTTTGTTAGGGAGCAAAAATGTTGTAGAGAGACCTTTTTCTGCTAGCCTATTAGAGAGGTGGAGAAATGGAGTCATGTGACCAACAGCAAACCATGGAAACATTACTATATGGAAAATGGAGTTTTTTTTAGGGTTAGACATTGCTGTTGTTTCTAGAGAGTAGAAGAGATGAAAATTGAATTTGGGTTTTGATTTTGTTGGAGAAAGATTGGATCAAGCTAAAGATTAGGTTATGATGGAGAGGAAGAAGGCATGAAATTTTTTATGGTTGTACCGAATTCTTGCTCTTTTGACTCTTAAAACCAAGTAAAGAGTTTTTTTTTTAAATGGAAAATACTCGTCCAAACCTGGTCTAGTTCTTTTTTTTTTTTTGAATCCGTCTAGTTCCCATATATAGATCAAACTAATGTCCGCAATTCCACTGCAAGAATATTGTGTATACATTATTTTCTCTATATGATAAGATTAGATTGGTTGGCTATTTGGTTATTGTAGTTGGTTGATGAAAGTGGCGTGATATGCGTATTGACTAGTTCATATGTCGTTGAAGGTTTATCCTCCAATCAATTATCTTTTTCATCATTTTTTTTTTTTTTTTGTATAATGACCAAATTGAGGATCTTCGAACTTTTTATAAAAACTATATATGATAACGTCAGTTAACTGCAAGAAGGGCAATAAAAGTTCATTATGATTCTGAATAAGCAGCTCTTCTTCTTGGAAACAATTGAAATGAGTTTAAACAGATGCCAGATTTGGCAAATTGGGGAGAAGCGTATATATAATGCACAAAACAATTCAATAGGTCCTGTTTGGTTTAGCTGATTCCTAATTAATAGTTAGGTTGTATGTTTTTGGTGAGTTTTTTAATAGTGCCGATCCAATATTTTTGAGCTTTTTTGTATTAGTTTGTAGGTGATTTGTATAATTTCGTATAATTAATTATTAATAACTTTTTAAAGTAATATTTTTTATTTATATAATACATTAAAATGAAAAGTAATATATTCACCTTAAAAGTTAAAATTATACATCACAATATATATAATCAATGTACCATTGATGGTCGGACACTAAAACATAGGTTAGTAGTAAATACATATATGACCTGACAATAGATCCAAATTTAAAATCCTCATCCCCGTACTAATATATATTAAAATCCTCATCCCCGTACTAATATATATATATAATATATATATATATATAATAATATTATATTATATATGATGGTCATATATATGATGGTCATTTTATATTTGAGTTAATTTGGTTCAAAGAAATTTATTGATGTTCAGGGTTCGAGCTATGGCGTTGTGAATGGAGAAAACAGGATTGGGGGGTCGCCCCCATAATGGGCCTCTGCAGAACTCGAATTCGGATTAGTCGGCTATGCCGAATACCGGATGGTTTACAAACAAAAAAATTATCGAGAAGTTTTCGGTCCTTAGCATTTGACATGGATTTACGTGTTATTTTTCTGTATTTTCTACAAAATATTTTTTATTTATCAAATAATTATATTTTTTTTCACTTTTCTTATCTCCTTTTAATTCAAATCTTTAAATTATTATCAAATATTACAAGTAATGTTAAATATATATTTTTAATAGATATAAAATTAAAATTTTTAATTAACTATTTAAAGTCTTTTAAATCACAATCATTAAAATGTAAAAAAAAATTTATTTTTTATTCAATTTTCTTTATCACTCTCCTAATTAAAAATCTTTAAATTAAATTAAAATTACATATTTATTAAATTAAAAAATTTTAATTGGTCATATCTAAGGATAGTTTATAGATATCTCAAATTTTATTAAGCATATCTAGAAAATCTCATTATCCTCAGACATATACTATATCCATTTTTTTATACATGTTTATAAGTTATGCTACTATATAGTTAATTGTAGAGCATATTTACTGATTTTGGTCAGCAAATGCTGCCTTAGGTAGGGATTCAGCATTTGGCCAGTTCAGTAAATCAGCCAAAAATAATTAAATTGATTTTTTAAAAAGAAACCAATACAGAATTTATGTATGAATTCAAATCAAATCTATTCAATTTGATTTGATTTTTAATTCATTATCTTTATTTTTCTTCGGCATATCTTTTAAAAATTTTAAAAATCGAACCAAACCTTTTTTTTTAAAAAAAAAAAATTCTATAGAAACCAAAATATAATTTAATAATTTGAAAATCAAACTAGATTAAACTAATGGATTATTAATTCAATTTGACTGAATTGTGTTGAGACTACCCTATGGAGTACTACTACCGTTTCATAATATTTATTACATTTGAGAAATAATATTTATTACATTTGAGAAAATAGTTTGTTCTAAAATATTTGTCACATTTATAGTTTCAAGAAGTAATAAATATTTTTTTCATATTTATCCTCTATATATAACCAATAATTATTACATTAATTTAATAGTTTTTTTAAAAAATTAGTACTAACTTAAGGATAATACAGTTAATTTACTCAATAATTTATTATAATTTAAACAAATTTAATAATTATTTTTACAGCTGTAAAATTTCAAATATGATAAATATTATAAAATAAAAGTAGTATAACACTGAAGTCCGGTGGGCAGAATGAGAAGTATATTTTGCTTTTAGGAATCCCAAACGTAACGCTACCAATAGTTTGACTAATCCATGTGTCTCCATCCGTCATTTTCCACCAAAAGATTAAACAAATTTATATATTTTTTATTGTATTTAATAACCAGGTGATTTTCGGCAGTTCATGCGAATGTATAATATAATTACATTCTTGTTAATTGAAAAAATGTTAGTTCTTATCCCTACCATAATTTAGTTAAAATAATTAGAATATATAAATGTTATTAACTTCTTAAATTTGAAGAATGTTTTATACTTATATAGAATTAAAAGAATTTGAATTGTTAAAAAAAAAAATAAATTGCAAAATTAAGTACAAGCAAGGCCAAGCGTAGATGAGAAAATTGAATTACCAACTAAAATTAGTTTTATTCATTTTAATCCAATTTAAGTTACTAATTTATTTTGTTTTGATTTTAAGTGATGGATCTTTTGTTCTTCAATATTAAAACTCATTAAAAATATAATGGTAATAATTAAATTTCTTCAAATACCATAATTGAATTTTAAAACTCATAAGAATGAAGAACAAATTAATCATTATGATGGAAGAGAAAAAACTGATTAAAAAAAAAGAGAAATATTAAAAAATTTCTCAATCAAGATAAAGCAAATGCTAAAATATTAGAGCCTCACCTCTCTTGAGAAAGTGCCACATCGACATATTGCAAAAATTTCATGTTTCTCTCTCATATATATACTAGACGGTCTTCTGTGCTTTACACGACTGTATAATAATTATATTTTTTATTTCAAATGTAAGATATATATATTGAGTAAATTATAGAAATTCATTTTTTTTAGGGAAAAGTGACTGGAATTATTATTATATATAAAGTCTCGTAGATATTTAAAAGAATTTAAATACTTAATTTTTATTTTTATAGAGATTTATCTAATTGGTTAATTGGAAGTATATAATTAAAAAAACCTATTAAAACATAATAATTAATTCATTATTGCATAAAATATATTTAAATCTTTTGAAATTTCACACACTTAAATCCTTGTAAAAATAAATAAAATAAAACTAAGCTAAGCAAAATATAAAATGAAAATGAAAATGAAAATAAAAAAATAAAACCAAGTAAACAACTCAAACAAAACAATAAAATACCACAATGTTCCTCTTTCAACCAACAATAAACTGAAGAAGTTAAAGTAAAGAATTAAATTAAACTTTCAACAATAGAATAAAATTTTAAAATTTTACAAAATAAACAAAAAAAAGTAGAACAGTAAACAAAAAGAGAATCTTAAACTTTTTGTTTATATAAGATAATGATATATAAATATTCAAATTCTCAATTAGAAAAAAACAATTCAATTTTTAAAAGCTACACATCAATCCAATTCTTTGAATTTTAAATCAAATTAAGAAAAACCACATAAATAGTTTTTTTTATGATAAATTCGATATAATCATACAAACAATAAATTGAATTTGAAGATCTCAAATATTTTGCATTTGAAAATAATTAACTTATCATGAGAAGAAAAACTAAACTTGTATCCTTATAATTGACTCAAAAACTAAAAATCATAATTAAACAAATCAAAGAGAAATAAAAAAAAAAAAGAATATTACCCATCATCTTATCTCAATCATTTTCAAACTATATTTTATAATGTGTATTTTTTAAACAGATGGTTTTTAAAATATTTTTCAAATCATTAAATTTTTAAACATACTATATTTGATTTGAAGTTTAGACTAAAAAAAATAAAAGTTTTTTTATATTATGAAAATTTAAAGATTTGGACATTGTATTATTTTTTTTTTATCACATATGTGATTTCTAAAAAAAAAAAAAAAAGGAAAAAAAAAAAAAAAAGGCATATTTGATTTGAATTTTAGAACTAATAAAATCTTTATATATGTCTCAATTATGAAAATCTAAAAAAATGTAATTGAAATATTTAAATTTTTTATATTGTCATAATTGAATGAATTTAAAATTCACAAAAATAAAAAGACAATTCATTATTGAAAAGTAAATGATAGGAGAGAAAAAGTAGATGGAAAATCGTAAAATGCTCAAAAATTCATAAAAAAAAAGATAAATCAATTACTTAAATCTATATTCTCTTACTTTTTAGAGGAAGCGTCACGTTAGCATAGGGAAAAGTCTATTAATTTTCCTTTATATATGCTTTTGTAGATTATAAATTTCATTTATTTTTAAACGAAGTATTAGCGACATAAATTAGAATTAGCACAAGGTAATGACAAAAGAAATAATGAAAATTTAGTTACGAATAATTAATTATTAGTAATTAATTTAATAATAGATATTAGAAGCATTATAAATGTGAAAGATATATATATAAATGTAAAAAAAAAAAAAAAAAAAAAAAAAAAAAAAAAAAAAAGAAGGGAACACTAATGGGGAGGGGGTTATTGGACCACATAAGTCGGCGTTAGTACGAGGGCATAAAAAAAAAAAAAAAAAAAAAAAAGAAGGACATAATGGGGAGGGGGTTATTGACCACATAAGTCGGCGTTAGTACGAGGCATATTTTCAAACCAGTCAACTTCTAGCTGCCAATTCATCTTATTATTGCTTTTTCATTTTTTATCATTACTTATTTTAAAAGGAAAATACTAACACACAATGTTTAGTTCCGATCGACTTTGTATTTAATTTCTGAAATGATATAAAATGAAATGAAAATTTTAAATCTTAAATATTTGAAAATGGAAAAAATAACGTGGCTATTTCCAAATACAGTGATAGAATCATATCCGTGAAGACAGCAAAATGTAATAACTTTGAAGCCTTCGCACTAACAGATGTCTATAATAACATAATAATTTATTTAGATGCGATGGCTGTACTTACACAACACTAACAGATGTACATAATAATTCTTTTACAGATGTACATAATAACATATTTAAATTTGATGGCTGCTAAGTGAAAGGGAGGACTATTCTATTAATACAATTTATTGAATAAAAAAATAAATATACACAAATAAAATAACATATTTAAATATATAGCTACTCATCTTATTTTATTATTTTTTTAAAATCTAATTATATATTTTTATTTTATTATTGTCAAATTATATATGTAATTAAACTGTTAGTTATTGTTATTTCCTACGTTATACAATTATTTAAGTCAAAAAAGACTACTTATATTTTCAGTCAATATTGGCTGACATTTAATAATAGAGTCATCACTTATTTCAATGTGTATATGTCACGTTTGCTTTTAAGTTTTAACTTATTCTCAGGTTCTTTTAATCTTTTTTTTCAACAGCTTCAATATATATATATATATTATAGAGATAAAATCTGAAAATAACTGTATCTGCTTTGTATCTAGCAATATATATATATATATATATATACACACATTGCATCAAATTCACCAAAATCACTCATCCTTGAGTCTTCACTGTCTTTCTTTCCTTCACAATGCTTTTCTTCATTACCGTATTCTTCATCTTCATTGCACTAAGAATATGGAAGAAATCGAAAAGCAACTCAACCCTAAATCTACCTCCAGGGCCAAAGAAACTACCTCTAATAGGGAACATACACAATTTAGCTGGCTATTTACCCTATCACCGTCTAAGAGATTTATCCAATGAATACGGACCCATTATGCACCTTCAGCTCGGCGAAATTAACAGCATAGTCGTTTCTTCGCCGGAACTTGCTAAAGAAGTTATGAAAACCCATGATATAAATTTTGCTTACAGGCCTTTTGTCCTCGCCGGAGATATAGTAAGCTATAAGTGTAAAGATATTGCATTCGCCCCTTATGGCGAATACTGGCGACAACTGCGAAAGATGTGCTCCCTCGAATTATTAACCGCGAAACGTGTACAATCTTTCAAATCAATAAGAGAAGAAGAAGGATCTAAACTCCTCCAATCGATATCTTCGAGCTCTGGATCGCCTGTCAATTTTAGCAAAATGACGAGTTCGTTGACATACAGTATTATTTCAAGAGCTGCATTCGGTAAAGTATGCCAAGGAGAAGAAGTATTTGTGCCGGCTGTTGTAAAGTTGACTGAAGCAGGAAGAAGCATTAGTCTTGCTGATGTTTATCCTTCCGTTAAATTGTTTAATACTTTTAGCGTTGTGAGGCGGAACGTGGAGAAGATCCATAGTGAAGTAGATAAGATAGTTGAAAATATTGTGAAGGAACATAAAGAGAGAAAAAGAGTGGAGGATATTGGCATGAAGAGTAAAGAGGAAGAAGATCTTGTAGATGTTCTTTTGAAATTTCAAGAAAATGGAGACGTTGATTCATCTCTATCCGACGAGAGCGTCAAAGCAGTCATCTTGGTCAGTATTATCTCTTTACTTTATTTTTTCGCTGGCTTCACTAGATGAATCAGTTCTGAACATAGCATATAGACTAGTTAATATTACAGATATCTTACCAAATCTTGAGTCTTATAACTAAAAAGATTAAACTTGGGGATATAAAGATCTTGTAGATTGAACACCATCCCCTTGTGTGGATGAGATTAATTCATTCTCAGGTAAATGCTCTCCTAACAGTGGCGGCTCTGGCGAGGTTTCAAATCGCTAAACTTATGAGTAAAATTTACCTGGAAATGCAATTCATTTCTTATGATCACTTATACCAGACATTTTCACTGCAAAAACTTCTTTTCCAATTATTAATTTCATGTTGTTGATGTAATTATCACTTACAAAAGCAACAGCTTTATTAATTGTTTTGATCTTAATTATTTATTTCAGGACATGTTTATCGCGGGTAGTGACACTTCATCTACAACTTTGGAATGGGCAATGTCAGAAATGATGAAAAACCCATCAATAATGGAGAAGGCACAAGCAGAAGTGAGGAAAGTTTTTGGTTCAAAAGGAAAGGTTGATGAAGCAGGCTTACATGAACTAAGCTACTTGAAATTGGTAATTAAAGAAACTCTGAGATTACACCCTCCAGTCCCATTGTTACTTCCAAGAGAAAATAAAGAGAATGTTGTGATCGAGGGTTATGATATACCTGCGAAATCTAAAGTCGTTGTAAATGCATGGGCTATCGCAAGAGATCCTAAATATTGGGATGAAGCTGAGAGATTTTATCCAGAAAGATTCATTAATAGTTCAATTGATTTTAAGGGAGCAAATTTTGAATTCATCCCATTTGGAGCTGGAAGGAGGATGTGTCCTGGAATGATATTTGGTCTTGCTTCTGTTGAGCTTCCACTTGCACAGTTGCTATATCATTTTGATTGGAAGCTTCCTGGAGGACAGAAGCCAGAAGATCTTGACATGTCTGAAGATCTTGGTGGTACAGCGACGAGAAGCAATGCTCTCTATTTGATTCCCACTCCGTATATTCCTCCCACAGTTGGCAAAATCTCAAGATAAATTAGTTTGAGATCAGAAAACTAATAAGTCAATTGACATATTCTAATGTTGTTTCATATCTGATCATGTAGGATTGGATGAAATATTTTGATGTTTTATTCTACTTAATTAATTTTATTTGATGATATAATACCAATATGTTTCTATAAGGTCCCTCATAATTCTAATTTGTTTCAATTTTAATACTTTTAATTGATTGTGCCACCAGCTTTCGTATCATTTTTACCAGGTCTCAAACTTTATAATATGTGAATTGTGAAAGAAACATTTGAATAATATTGTGACTTTTGCTAATATCTGTTATGAAATTAGTCATAAGGGGCGGAGGAGGTCATTCTTGATTTATATTAGAATTTTACTATTTTAATATAAATCATAGAACAAAATCTTGATCTGCTTATGTTATTAATAATTTATTTTTTCAACTCTTAGCTACCACACAATGAAAAACATTTTGTTTACAATCAGTAAGCAGTTAATTAGTCGATTAGTGTGTGCTAACTAACAATAGGACAAAAAATCTTGATTTGCGTATGTTATTAACCATCTTTTAATTAATATGTTATTACTCTTTCGTCCCATAATCTTTCTCCTACTTTACTTTTGCATCCGTCTCAAATTATTGTCGTGTCTATTTATTAAAGTGAGTAATATTTGAAGCTTCATGTTTCATTTTTATTTAATATAGTTCTTTGTCAAAAATATAATAGTCGGCTGAATATATCGATTCAACCTTGAACTTTATAAATTTTAACTTTGTGGCATTCTGAACTTATCAAATGACTTAATATACACTTAAACTTATAAATTTTGATAATATTATACACTTTTCGAACTAATATCAATATTTTTTAGAGTTTTTTTTATTTTTATCTATAAAATATCTACTTGATATGTAATTAGCATGATTTTTAAAGCAAAAGTTTTCATAAATTTTAACTTTTTAATGAGTGTTTAATTAATTTAATTTGACAAGTTGAAGTATTCAATAAAATAAATTTAAAAATTAAAGTGTTTAATACTGAGTGTTTAAATAAATTTTAACTTTTTAATGAGTGTTTAATTAATTTAATTTGACAAGTTGAAGTATTCAATAAAATAAATTTAAAAATTAAAGTGTTTAATAGATATACTTTTATGAGTTCAAGTGCTTAATAGGTCAAAGTAAAAGTTGAGAATGTCATAAGATTAGAGCAACAAAATTTATGGGTGAATTTATATATTCTGCATATAACAGTGAAACTACTATAATGTTATTAATTTAAATCTTGATATAAATTATATTATTAACGTACTATTATCTCTGTAGCCATTCAAAAAAAAATTTAATATTAATAGATATTAACATAATAATGTATTAGAAAATAAAAATATTATCTAAATTTTTTCAATCTACGAAGTAGGACATAAATTATGAGTAAAAGGAGTAATAATTTATTCCAACTCGTAGCATTCGATAATGAAGCAAGTAGTCAAATAGTGTGGGCTGACTGCTGAAGTTAAAATAAATTATTATTTTAATTAAGCGGATGCTTTAATTGACAACATATAAATATTCTTTGATTGATAGGCACACGTAGTAGACAAAAAGATGTGAATTCTTTAAATCTATTTTGGTCAAAGAATGGATGCTTGACATCACTAAATGGTTATTTTTCGTGTCCTCTTTTTTCAAATTGATCCAATCCAATTTGGTCAAAGAATGGATGCTTGACATTAGAATATAGTTATTTTTGTCATATTATCTATTTTATTTACCCAATCCAAAATTTCAACAGTTTAAGTCAGTATAAATAATAAAAATATAAATATTTTTAATAAAATCAATTTTTTTTTATTAAAACAAGTAAAATTAATAATTATAATATTATAAACAATTGTAATTCCTTCCAAATATATAAGTCATGTTAGGGTGATTGTTTTGTTTCGGAATTTAAGTTCTTAACCTAAGGAGTAACAAATGATTTTTTTTTTTCAATTTTACCCTTTTATTCATATTAAATTTAATAACTATCTTTACAAATTCTTCTTGGTTTTGAAATAAAGAGTAAATTTAGTCAAAGTACTCTTGATGTTATTATAATTTAAAAGGATAATTATTTTCTTAATGCTCGTGTAAATATCTTAACCGACTTATATTTTAAAAAGAGCGAGTACTTTTTACAAAAATCTATAGATCCTGATAATACGAACTTTAAGTCATAAATCTAATTGGACTGTGATTGAGTGTATCATACAATAAATTATAAGTTGTTTAATTATTTATTATTAATCAATGCAGCATTTATTTTTCTAATATAATATAATTTAATTTTTATTACTTCCTCTATCTTATATGTATAGACTCACTCTCTTTTTTGTTTGTTTCAAAATTTATTTTTTTTAAAAAGTATTTATTGTTTAATTTTTTATATACCTCTATTTAACGTATATTTATATTTCGAACTATATTAACGTTATATTATATTTCGAACTTATATATATATATATATATATATATATATATATATATATACACACGGATGAAAAGACGGTATTTATTCTTTCTAGTTGTTTGTTGGGGTAAAAGCGGATTAGATCATAAGCCTGATATATACACACGGGATGAAGAGGTATTTATTCTTTCTAGTGTTGTTTGGGGTAAAAGCGGATAGATCCATTAAGCCTGCGTTTATCAAGATGCCTAACGGTAGTTAGATTGGATTAACGCCCAACGAGCTTGCTAGTCCAGATGAGAATAAGAAGATACAAGAAGGGAAGACAAATAGGTGAGAGAGACGAGAGAGAAATTAAAGCAATTAGAGGTTAGAAAAAAAAGGGAGGTGACATAGAGGAGAAAAGGGGTTTGCTAATTAGTTGTACACTCCCTTCGATTCATTTATTTAGACAGTTTTTATTTTCGACATTCTATTTATATACACAAAATTACTTAATTTGGTCTATGATTAAAGTGCAAAGTCTAAATTACCCTTGATTTGTTTTGTTTAGAGTACCAACTTTTTAGAAAAACAAGAAAGTGGCAAACAAAGTTGAAATATTGCATGAAATATGATTGACTAACCAATTCATAACTATATTATCCTTCTCTCTCCATTTCAAACAAAATTAAACGTATTTAGAAATTTTGCACACATTTACTTAACAAAGACTATTGCTTATTTTTTATATACAGTTAGAAATAAAAAATACATGTAATAATAATATATGTGCAATACTTGACGTAAAAATACCAACATTTGCAATATTTGAACACATATTTTTATTATCCAAAAGATGATTTGAGGCAACGTTTTACAAAGACAACTAATGCACCTTTTTTTTTTAAAAAAAAAAGCACATTTTTTGAACTACTAAGTGTCATTTATCATTTAAAACATATGAAACTACTATCACGTGGCAAATATGTTCGCAATAGGATGTTGCATTGTTGTTGCTATTTCCTTCACTATTTATGCATTAACTTCAATTATCATTTATCCCATGGCAAATATGTTCGCAAGGACCATTCATTTATTTGTAACTAGTGCATCATTATTTATAATATGTCAAACTCTATAAACTGACTTTTTTGAAATAGACAATGTGTACGCAACTTTCTCGATAGAGTACAAATTTAACACTCCTTGCATTTTAAAAAGAAGCATGTTTTTAACTAAATTTTTGGTTTCTTCTGTCATTTTCTTTTTCTTCGCTCCCTTCTTTGTATCTACGCCAGAAGGACATTGTATGAATTTAAACTCTTCATCATGATTGATGATTGTGTATTTTCTTCTGCATTTAAATCGATCAAGTCCAATGAACCAACAATTAGAGTGAACACATCTTCTAAAATTATAGAAGAATCAAGAGGGTGTAGATTCAAATAAAATGGATATGACATGGTTGTAGGCAGTGCACTTTTGGATTTTTTTGATGTAGTTCGTGTGCAATAATTGTTAGCTATTAAATTAACGTTATTTATAAAAGAGTATTTGGGAAGAATTTGAAGAGATAGTTAATGCTATCAAAATTTTGGCTTCAAAAAGATTATTTGCACATAATTCCTTTACTAAGTGTCCATATTTTTTAACTAAAAATTAAACTTTCGTTTCCCACCAAATTTTTGCGCTAAAAATGAGAGGGCCAAATTTTAAAATTTGATTAGGAGGTAAAACTTAACGTAATTAGCAAAAATGATTAGATTTTTGTTGTGATTCATCCTTTAATTATGATTATAAGTCCTTAATTGTGTTTATGAGAATAATTTGACATGACATATTTGACTTTTAAAGCAAACATTTAATTAATGCAATGTTGGGGGCAAAATAAGAAAGATTTGGCCAAAGATTATAGTTTAACTAACGCCTTCTTCCATGTGCAAAGTAAGTTGTGTCTATATAAATGAATGGGAGAGAGTAAATGTTTAGCACATTCGAATAAAAAAATAAAGTAAATGCTTAGTACATTCGAGTTAATTGTATTAGCCGATATGAACAGTTAAACCAAAAAGGCATAATTAGATTCAAAGAGACTTTTTTATACCCATCAATTGAAATATTGAATAATATATGTTGGCAATAATAAAATTAATAATTTATTCCAACTTTAATTTTTACAATTACTATTTATATATGCAATAGAGAAAATAATAATAAATTAATTATACAAAAATAAAAAAAAATTAAGTTACGACAAAAATTAGAATTTTTTTTATCGTGATATTGATTTTGTTGTTATGGTAAAAAGCACTTTGCATTCAGTAGATCGTAGATCGGGTTTGATTGAATGGAACTCGGTGGGTTCGCTCGTTGTTTCTGGATTTGCTATCTCTAGATCTCATGTCTTTATAAGTGGCATATATACCGCTAAAAGAAAAATAGCAGATTTTCTCTCCATCCATACACATCTGTTGCCTTTTCTTTAATCATAATGGGTACTGTGACTTATGAAGGGCAGATTGAGGGCTCAACCCCACCAGCCAAGCTGTTCAAGATGATAGTCCTTGAACCTCAAATCTACCTTCCCAAAGTCCTGCCTGGGGCTATTAAAAGTTTTGTCAATCTTCAAGGAGATGGAGGACCTGGCACTCTCAGACAAATCACCTTCCCTGAAGGTCAGTTTTTTCAATATTAATTTCAGAATTATGAGTAAGTTTCACATCTGACTTGTTAAGGTAACTGATTTTTTAATCTTACTTAAAATATTCAGGGAGTCCAATTAGTCATTTGAAGGAGACAGTTGATGCAATTGATGAGGAGAATTTCATATTTGAATATTCAATAATCGGAGGCGATCCTGCTATTATTGATACCAGTTTAGTTGAGAAAATGTCTTTTCAAATTAAGTTTGAAATTTCTCCTGATGGAAGAACTGTTTGCAAGCGAAGCTGTAAGGCCTATACTGTTGATGGTGTTGAGGTTAAAGAAGATGAAATTAGGGGTAGCCTAGAAAAGACTATGCAAGTCTTTTTTGGATCATTCAAGCTTTATGAAGCCTATGCCTTGGCAAATCCTGATGCCTAACTTAATTTATATGTATTTTAGTTTTAATAAAGCATGAGCTTGGAGTTTGATGTGAAACCCTAGTAGCTTTCTCGCATTTTCTCTTCAATAATATTTTGTAATTTCTGAAAGCGTTTTGAACATAGAATTGAAATAAAATGCGTGGTCCTACAGGTACTTAGTAATTTTTAATCACCTGAATTTTAATTTCAAAAATTACTGCCAAGTCTCAAAGATTTGGTCACATTAAATTACTCAGCACTCTTCAAAAAGTATTATTTTTGGTAGAAAATATCTTTGATATTTAACTATTTGGTCTGACATATTTAATGTATTAATTTTCTAACATGTACTACTGAATTACTACTATTTATTCTCTCACTTAATGGGAAAAAAAAAACTTTTTGATTGAATGACTAGGTAGTTTACAGGACCAAACTTTTTTATTTAATCCCATATTTTGATCAAATTATTTTGAGTCTGACGCATAGTGATCATTTATCAAAGAATGACGCTGGTAATCAAATAATTGAAGAGCCGGGAGCAATTTATTTACGATACTTAGTTGACATTCATAAAATGTATCTGATGAAATTATTATGAGTTTAGAATATTTTTCTGAAAGACATTTTAACTCTAATAAAAAATAAAGTAAAATATACCAATAGTTGATAATTTTACTTTTTATAAGATTGTGTACCCAAAATTTGATGAATCACATTACCCTAATTTGAAGAACTTTGTCTTCTCACACTACAAAAAAAACGCTCAATTGCGACCGATTTTTGCGACCGACATATAAGGGTCGCAATTTTGCGACCGATTTGCGACTTCTAGTACATCGACCGACATATAAGGTCGCCAATTTTGCCGACCGATTTGCGACTCTAGTAACATCAGTCGCTAATATTGGCGCCTTGAAAAAATTTCCCGCAAGAGAATGGTAGTGATTTTGCGACGCCTTACTACGGATTTGCGACCGATTTGCGACGACCGATTTGCGACTACGTTTTATCGGTCGCAAAATTTCGCGCGTAAAAAATGCGGCAAAGTTCTGAGACCGATTTGAGACTGAATTGCGACTGATTTTTTTACGACCGATATGTTTTGTCGCAAATCGGTCGCAAAACTTGTGCCTAGTCAAACGACGTCAGCTCATTAAAAATTGCGACCGAGTTTATGGAAATTGCGACCAATAAGTCGGTCGCAAAAATTAGGGCTTTAAACAAGCCGCGCCCTCTCTTTTTTCTTTCTTCTTCTTTCTCTCTTCTCCTTCTCCTCTCCTCTCCTCCGCGCCGCAGCGCCACGCAGCCTCTTCCTCACACCGATTCAGCTCGCGCTGACACCGCCAGCCCGCCCCCCTTTGCCTCGCAAGCCACACAGGTTATTTTATTTTGCGATTAAATTGTCAAATTTTTTTTTTCGAATTTATTTCGTTTTTCGAATTTATTTATTTTTATTATATTAAGTTATATATGGTTGTTTTGTTATTTGTTGTTATAATTTTGGTATATGGTTGCGATTTAATTTATTTTGTATATGTTAATTTATTTTATTATTATTATAATTGATTAGCTATATTATTGCTGTTATTATATTATTATTATTATTATTATTATTATTTATTATTATTGTGATTGTTATTATTATTATATTATTATTATTGTTATTATTATAATTATACTGCTGTTCTTATTTATTGTTATTATATTATTGTTATTTATTATAAATTATTTTATATTACGCTGTTCTTATTATATTTTATTATTATTTATTATTATTATTATTATTATTATTAATTATTTTATTATTATTGTTATTATTAAATTCATTACTACTTGTTCTTATTATTATTTTATTATTATTATTTTATTATTTATTATTATTATTATTATTATTATTATTAGTATTTAGTATATTAGTATTATTGTTGTTGTTATTAATATTATTATTATGTTATTATTATATTATGGATGTTTCTGCTGTTATGGATCAAGGTACGCTTCTGCTTATTGTCTATTTCTATCAAACAAATTCTATGAACAATAGATCTGGGCTATATTAAATATTATTTAACATCAGCATCTTCAAAGATATGATCTTCAAGTAATCACATCAAATGAAGATTGGTCAGTGGCATCACAAAACCCCCGACAAGAAGGAAGAAGACTGATTGGTAAGCACTAATCATAGTATTGCAAATTTTTGAAGTGGCCAGTTGAAAATAACTTTTCTTGGTTCAATTTTTCTTTGATTTTGAATGAAGCAGGATTTATAAATTTAAATTGAATCGGCTTATTTTATTATATTTCCTCTTTTCTTTTTTATGGTATGCGTTGAAAGAGAACTGTTGGATTTTACTGCCCAATTACAAATAGATTTCTTTTAAACTCTCGGTTTTGTATGGTAATCGGCGACGTCTTGGCTTTCTTTTTTTCTATAAGTTAATTATTTTAATTGTGTAAAGTAGAATGCACAACAACAATTTGATTGTATAAATTTCATGTAGCATTCTTTCTCCTTTTGCCCATGTCATTTTTAGACCTCCAAAAATAAGATTAGATATGCATTTTATTAACAAATAATAATTATCTATAAAAGACATGTACATGCTAGCTAGCTTAATCATCCAAGAAATTAACAGTGAATATATCAATCTAATCACATGAAAATAATGTATCTTGCACTCTTCAGTTTGTAAAGTGTCATAAAAAGCAACATTTTTTTTTTTTTTACCATGTAGTGAAAGAAGATGATCAAAGACAATTGAGAGAAAAACATTGAGTGCAGTTTTATATTCAAAACTCTGTATTTAGGGATTTTAAAATCCTTGGATTAAAAGTTAAATTAAAAGGTAACCCCACCAAATAATTAGTTGCGACTTACAAAGTTACTGAGTTGTTGCAAATTCTCACCGTAATCTTACTTTTAGGATGCTAATAAATCTAAGTTTTAAAATGAGAGTGCCAAGAGGATAAAGTTTATTTTAGACTGATTTAAGCCTTTTGTGTATAAAATGATAAGTTATATGTTAAAGTTATATGTTAGTTGAGATTTTTTTTTTATAATTAAGGATATTTAATTTTTATGATATTAATAATAAAAATTTTCAAATGAATAGAAGATTATATTTTTTTAAAAATATATTTTTAGATTTCTTTTATTTACTTTAATAATATTTTTAATTTATAATTGGGCGCTCTTGAATCAATCTTCTAGATACGTCCCTTCCTACAATTTTTACCTGTCTTAAAAACAACCTCCTTAACATTTTTTTTCAAAGGTATTACTATCTTTTTACAACAATTACAACGTGGCTAGTGTCTCTGGCACAAATTGTGCCAAAAGTATTTACGGAAAAGAATAATTACATGGATAAGGTTAACTTTTTAGTCAAAAAATCCATTAACACGCACCGTCAAGCAAATGAGGAATCTAACTAGAAAGCGTTGTACTCGTACTACTACTACTACTATTAGTTTAAGACTGCTTACTAGAACAATAGAATATTATATATTCTAAGGACTATATTTATGTAATGATAGAGGAATGAGTAGAGGGATCATAATGATATTACCGTATTAGATATTGAGATTTTATCTCCACGAGTCTCGTGCGAATGATTATTCTTCCTAAGCAATAAAAAGAATAAAAATACAATAATGAGAGATGTAATCACTTATCTTATTCACTCAAAAACAGAAATTATATTAAAAACATACTTTGAATTTTTCATTTTTTTAAAATTTTCACTCATTAATTCTAATGAAAAATCTTTTGGATATAGTTCTATTGATATTTAAAAGGAATAAAAAAATTGTCATAGGAGGCACATTATGAGAAAATGACATATAACTATATGAGCAAAATGAGAATATAATATAGAATATAATGAGAATATATTTATACACTTCGTTCAAGTTTCAAAGTCTGCTTTGGCTTTGATAGAATATTAATATAGATTTTTGAGAATAATTTGGAATTTATATAAATCTATTTTTTGTTGTGTTTAGGTTATACATGTTCTTAATTATGGCGTCTTTCTTTGATAGTTTTGGCTGTGTTTTTCTTTATTTTCTTTATTTTATATTATTGTCGTTATTTTTCTTAAATATATTTTTGACTTAAATAAATGATGAGTTTGGATTGGAGGCCTAGTAGTGGCCATATTGCCTTTGGAGAATGTTGGTATGATATAGAAGTGTTTATTGATTTGTTTTTATATTTGAGATTTGATTGTGTTGTGCCGAAATGCTGCCGAATTTTTTCCCCAAAAATTCAATATGTAGAATAGTACACTTATCTTTATTATAGTAGTCTTTGTATTCAATTTGTATTGAATAAATGAACTTAGTGATTTTACATTTATATATAGTTACCCTTATTATAGAAATAACCTTAGTTAGTTATAAGTGTAAATTGAACATTAAATTAGTGGCATGTTTTAAGGATGGTTTAGACTAATGCAATTACATATAATTTACCCTTTATAAACACATTGTTAATTAGGTAAAAAAAAATGCGAAATAATCGAAATTGGATGTACTAGAGGTTCGAGGTCAATGGGATATTAAGACAAGAGTTCCTGCAAGGATTGGAGGCGTTTATACAGTTTGCAGTTGGTAATCCCACTTTTATGGATGGTAATAAGTTGAGGTGTCCATGTAATCACAAGAAGTGTCGAAATCGAGCCTTCTTAGACATCAATACAGTGAAACTGCAACATGGGTTGTGGGAAAAATTATTATGAATGGATACGATCATGTAAAGCCCTCGAGTGCCAGTGGGTCAGGCATCCATTCCGGTAAGTTTAGAAGTTCAGCCTTATCAATTTGTCTGTATGGCTAATCAATTTGCCAATGATTATGTTAATCGATGCGAAGTTAGAGTAACAATGTTGATTGGGGATTTAATATGGAGGGAATCGGCCAAATGTAGCCAGCACAACAATTGTCCTTGACATGTGCTAAGTGAGCTAACAGTGTAACAGTGAACTGTGGCCTGGATGCAAGAATCATTCAGTTCTGTCTGTTGTTGCACGATTACTACACATGAAAGCGGAGCACCATTTCTCAGAAAGGTGTTACGATGATTCGATGATTTTGTGTAGTTATCAAAAGAAATTTTGCCTGAAGGTCATTCGATGGTGGATAATTTTTACCGAACAAAAAAATTAGTTCGGGGATTAGGACTACTCATGGAAAAGATTGATTGTTGTCGAAATAATTGTATGATATACTGGAGTGTTGACTTTGAATTAAGAGAATGCAAGTTTTGTAATCTTCCAAGATATCAACGGCGACGTCATTACGGCTATGCTGAAAGTAGCCTGGGAGAAGATATGCGCCGATCGATACGCTGACTTCACCTATAGGATGAGAAGAAGCGGTAAGAAACAACGGTGCGTGTCTCAGGAGATATGGGAGAGCTGGCAAAAGGCTTGGGAGGATCCTGCATTCAAGAGAAAGCGGGAGATGTTTGCACAAAACATTTGCACAAAACAGGCATAGTGAGACTGGCGGTGATGGAGTAGGACCTTCTCGACACACAGGCGGATCAATATCTGCTATAGAGACAACTCGATTATTAGTAAGTAAACTAGTCACAGTATATGAAACTGATGTTTAATGAAAGGACACTATCTATATTAATATATCATGCATAAAAATTCATTATAGGCTAAAGAATTTGGTCGTGAGCCAACACCGATTGAGGTGTTTACATATACTCACACGAAGGACCACGATCTTAATACGTTTGTCGACAGACGTGCGCTGAGCGTCAATGTAAGTAACAATGAATTACCATTTACCCTCTAATTCATTTGCGAAGATGTACAAAGTTCAATATAATAAAAGCTTGGCAATTGCATTGATTAATTAACTTTTTATTTTAGGAGAACTATACTACAGCTCGGGAGCGTATTGTTACTTCTCAGACCGATGAATCCGAAGCTAAGTCAAGAATTGACGAGGTAGCGCTTTATCTCCAGGTTGTAGGGGGCAAGAAGAAGAGAAGGTATAAGGCATCGGGTCTCAGGCATCACAGTTTTACTGCGGCTCAGCAGCTCACGCTTCTACAGCCAGCGCAGCACCACAGCCTGAGCACATTGACTCGCACTATGATGATGATATACAGGCTCAGCTTGGTGATCAGCAGAGACAGATTGCAGAGCTTAGAGCGCATGTGATGTGGCTGTCCGGTGAGCCCCGTGCTGGTACTTCTTCCTTTGATCCTGCGCCTGCTACAGACCGACATGTTTCGACGTCTCAGCAGCAGCCACTCAAGGCCACTATCGGCTCCTTTGATCCGACTGCTGCAGGCCGATTACCTTGCTCACCCCTCCTGTCGCGATACATCAGCTCCGCAGGTACTCCTCCCGGCGATCCGACATTGGATTCCTGCCAGATGGCAGCAGCCAATATATAGATTTGATTTCCGACCTTTTTATTTTTTTCATTTTATTCATTTTTTTAATTTGTTCAGAACAATAAAATTACATTTTTATAAACTGTTCTGAATTGGTGTGTGTATATATGCATTTATGTCACTTTCAACAGGTGTAGAAAAATTTTTGGTTTCAAAATAATAATATTTAATTTTTTTTATTCCCTTTTCATTTTTGCGACCGATTTGCGACCGATTTGATACCAAAAAAAAATTTTTGAATTTATAAATTGCGACCGATTTGCGACTGATTTTAAAAATTTGCGACCGATATTCTGCGACCAAATTTGCGACTGAATTTCCAATTAAATCATGACCAAAAGTTGCGACCGATTATTCAATTTTGCGACCGACTTATCGGTCTCTGATTTGCGACCGATTTTCTCATCGGTCGCAATTTATATTTGCGACCAGTGATTTTGCGACCGACAAAAGTCGGTCGCACAGTACAAATACGATTATTCAATTTTGCGACCGACTTATCGGTCTCTAATTTGCGACCGATTTTCTCATCGGTCGCAATTTAGATTTGCGACCAGTGATTTTGCGACCGACTTTTTGCCATTTTGCGACCGATTGGTCGGTCGCAAAACGGCATTTTTTTTGTAGTGTCAGTGAACGAGATTGCTCACACTAAAATATCACTTGTGTTTTATTTTAAGAAAGGCGTCTACAATTCATTTTTAATTCATAAAAAAGAAATCTATAACTTCATTCGAGATGATTGTATGACTCATGTGAGACAAAATAAAATAAAAAAAAAAAAACAACACTTAAATATACTCCCTCGTTCCAAAGTAATAGACACTTAATTATGATAAATTAGTTATTTGAGTTAGAAATGTAAAATTATATGTTTTTTTTTATTATACCCTATTTTAATATGAGATATACTTATTAATTTATCATTGACTTTTTGCATTAATCAGGACTAAATAATTATTTCAGATGGGTTAATATGCATTGAAAATGACTAAACTTAGTAAATACTCACATTTTCAAATTTCCAAGTAATTATCAATAAATAATGATATTGGAAATAAAAAATAATTGATAAAAGTAAGAAAGTTATTTTTAACAAGTAACATTAAATATGGGTAAAATAGAAATTTAACATATTAAATGGTAAGTAAACTATAATTTGGGACAAACGAAAAAGAAAAGTGGAACTATTAATTCACGATAAAAGAAATATTAAAATAACCAAATATATGCCTTAATTAATTATGCATTAGGATTTGCTAAAGCATAAGCTTCAAAAGTCTTGTAAATTGCATAAAAGTGTTGAGTGGTCATTTCTAGACCAGCCCTAACTTCCTCTTCATTGACTTCAACTCCATCAATCGTGTAAGCCTTGCAACTGCGTTTGGCAATGGTTCCACCATCAGGAGTTGCTTCAAATTTAAGCTGGAAAGACATTTTCTCAACTATGCTTGTATCTATCAGAGCAGGATCGCCTCCGATTATGGAATAGTGATATGTATAATTCTCTTTATCGATTAGATCAATCGTCTCAATAACATGAGTTATTGGGCTTCCTGAACAATATAAAATTAACTTTAGAAAATTGTCTAAATAACTCTATACATGAATTTCAATATACATAGTAAATTAAAATTGCTAACCATCGCCAAAGGTAGTTTTCTTGATGGTACCAGGTCCTCCATCTCCTTGAAGAGTTTCATAACTCTTAACAGCATCTGGCAGCACCTTGGAGACATTTTTTTCAGATTCAAGGATAATCATCTTGAACAGTTTCGCTGGCGGAAGTGAGATCTCAATTTGCCCTTCATAAGTCACAATACGCATTATGATATAAATAACTGAGACTAGCTATAAAAATTATACAAGCGTTTTGGAGGAGGCAAATGTAACAAGATTAGATATGGCTTTGCTATATATATATTGAACATTTCCTTTCAGATAACCAGAAGTTGGAATTGATTATTTCGTTGACCATAAAAATGTTAATTAGATGTAGTCTATTCGGTCTTCACACCGTTGATCTCCTAATGAATCAAAAATAATTTTTAAAAAATATTAATTGTATTATTATACTATGAGCACAACTTGATGAATGTGCTAAATATGCCATGTATATATTAGTTATATAGAGTGTTACTCAGCATTAGAAGACTACAAATTTTTCTATCAGATTCATTATTCACGTGATCCACATAAATCTGAAACACAAGAAATATTTTTTTGTCGGTTTTGGTCAACAAAGTTAAGCTAATTAGAGTAAATTAGCATGATATGTATGTATAACTTATTTTGCTCAGTTGGCAAGGAATGATGTTGAGAAAGTGGTACCACATAGCAGTATAGCACATGCAAGGGGCCGATCTCGCCTGATGATAAAAATGGAAATGTTATATATAGTGAAAATAATTAATGATAACACATCAACATGAACGAATTAAAATAACAATTCAACAAAAATAAGTTATACTCTCTCAGTTCTAAAAAGATAGTCCACTTTTTATTTTCACACAGATTAAAAAATATGGTTAAAAATTAATTTTAATCATACAACTGTCTTATTATATCCATCTTAAATAACACATGCGTATTGAAATAATAACTAATAATTAATGAGGGTTATTGAAAATAAGGCAATTTAATAAGGGTATAATAAACAATTCAAGAATTAACTATAATGCAAAAAAAGGAAAATGGATTATATTTGGGACAAACTAAAAAGAAAGATGGACTATCTTTTGAGAGGGAAGGAGTACTTATTAAAAAAATAAAAAATAAATAATTATAAAGAGTGCATAAGAGTTGATTGATGAGATACAAGAATTAAAAATCACCCAAGATTAGATAGTTTTAATAAATGTCTTATTTTTCGTGGATTATTATTTAAACGATCCCGTTGATATCGTATATAATTATTCATTGTTCTCCTCGGATTGTAAAGTATAAGGTTTTTAGCCTGCTAACAAAGTGTACTTCTTAGAAATCGAACTTATTATCATCCTCAAAAGTTTGAGGTTGCTTACCACTTTAACTAACACTTTATTGGTTAACTTATTCCACTAAAAGCATTTTATATCACAAATTAAACCATTGTATTTAAAAATTGAAATATAGGGTTTATTAAAACAAGTTTCGTCTAAGTTTTACAAAACAATGTTTTAGTTGTTATTGAACCATTGCATTGAACTCGTTTTTTTCATTCGTTTATTTTTTTTGTTTATGTAATATTAAAATATAAATTTTTATTCAAATTAAAATAAATACAATGTTTATTTACATTACACTTTACTATAAAAACTAATTGTAATACAAATTCTATGTACTTAATCCTATTGTATACAATAAAATGTTCTCAAAATGAAGTTCAACCCAACCCTTAAACTTAATTTTATATAAATCAAATTGTAGAAAAATAAAAATATGAAAATTTAAAAATGAAAATTTGTTTTAAAACATAAATTAAGAAATTAAAAATTTTTAAAGTCTTAATTATGTGTAGATCTATATTTAAAAATAAATTTATAAAAAAATCCTATCAAAATGTAAAAAAATAAAAAAAAATTCAAAAGTTAGTCCTCCTAATCAAAATATTTTAAGTTACAATCAAATATTTTTATTTTTTTCTTACCTTATCTCTCTCGTAATCAATATATTCAAAATTACAATTAAATTATAAATATTTTTTGAAGATAAAATTTTTTTAATTGACTATGACTAAGGTTATTTAAAATTTTACCAAGGACACTATTGAAAATCTCGTTATTCACTCTCCTATTCTCACACTTATATATAATAGATTATAGATTAAGTATGATTATAATTCTTCTCTTATATTCTCTAGTTTTTTTTGATAACAATGTATGATCTGATTGGTCTTCTTATATCTTATAAAAGACGTAGGGAGCTGATAAACTTAAGTTGAAGTTCTCTCTACCATAAAAGTTATCACCGATTTAGTAAATGTTATTCAAACAGATTATTACCCACATATGTCCGCTGCTATGTAGCCCAAGTATCCTTCCGGTATATTCAACCTCCTATACAGATTATTACCCACATATGTCCGCTTGACTATGTAGCCCAAGTATCCTTCCGCGTTATTTCAACCTCCTTAATATATATATATATATATATTAAATAATAAATAATAATAATAATAATAATAATAATTTGTTGGCTGTTTGGTTGAATCCATAAACTCTTGTATCTTCTCTATTATTTTACCGCTATTCTCTCCTTTTATAATATTCTTGTTTTATAACTTCAATTAATATTATTTTCAAAAAAAAGAAACGTCAATTAATATTAGAATAATTCTTTTTTTTTTTTTTTACTTTAAGAAAGTTGTTTACAATTCTTTTTTTTTTCAGTCCATCAAAAAGAAAATTATCACTTACACCATTAAAATTAACTACAGAAAAAGTAAGGTGGTAAAAAGAAGATAACACATCTTTTAACGGCCTTCCACGTAGTACTTCAACAGATCAAGAACAATAAACAGGTAAAAATAATAATAATGAAACCCATATATGTTTCAACATATCAAGAAATTTATTTCCAGGGCTTACATTGGAAGAAAAGCGTTGAATTAAACTTGATTAACCTGTACAAGCAAATTTAGGAGGCATGCAGCAGGAACCTTCTTTTTTTTTTTTTTTTTAGTTTTTAGAAAGGATCAAGAAAAAACCCAAATATATTTTTTTTTTTTTTTTTAGAAAGGATCAAGAAAAACCCAAATATACCAAAAGGTTTGCTAAAACAAACTAGGCATACATATATATATATCAATTATGCATCAGGATTTGCTAAAGCATAAGCTTCAAAAATCTTGAAAACTCCCAGAAAGATTTGATTGGTCTTTTCTAGACCAGCCCTAACTTCCTCTTCCTTCACTTCTACACCATCAACCGTATAGCCCTTGCAGCTACGTGTGGCAATGGTTCCACCATTAGGACTTGCTTCAAATTTAAGTTCAAAAGACATTTTCTCAATTATACTTTTATCTATCAGAGTAGGATCTCCTCCAACTATAGAATAATGAAATGTTAAATTTTCTTTGTCCAGAAAATCAATCGTGTCAATAACATGAGTCATTGGGCTGCCTGAAAGAATGTTACAAAAATTAAATTAAAATTATCTAAATAATTCTATGTATCACTAAATAAAAATTACTAACCAGCGCCAAAGGTAAGTTTCCTGACGCTACCAGGTCCTCCATCTCCTTGGAGAGTTTCAAAACTCGTAACAGCATCAGGCTGCACCTTGGAGACATAGGTTTCAGATTCAAGGACAAGCATCTTGAACAGTCTGGCTGGTGGGAGTGGGCTCTCAATTTGGCCTTCATAAGTCACAATTCCCATTATGGTTTAAAGAACTGAGACTAGCTACAAAAATAAGACCCCTATATATGGCTCTGCTATTTATAGTTAAAACATTTGCTTATATGATTGGGAGGCTAGAACTGATTACTTAAATACACATCGAAAATACAAGTATATGCACATTAGGTTTCGGGGCCGAATTGAAATTAAGATGGTGTTTGTTCTACTGATTTATATAGCTGATCGCTGATTTATACTCAACAGTTAATTTGCAAATATTTAATAAACTTTTTAATTAAAATCGATAGTTAATAGAAGTTTCAACTAGTTATTGTTAAATCCATCAGCTATGTTTTAGAGTTTTTTTTTAGCTCATAGCTTATTTGTATTTATATTATATTTGAATTTCATTACTTTCGTATAAATAATTATCAGTAAAATTATTTTTTTTAAAATTATTATTTTCAATGATCATTTTATTTGTAATTATTATTTTTTTATTAAATATTTTTTAAATTAAAAATATTTGGTATTTAAATCAATATATTAAATTAAAAAATATCATTATTATTACTTTATAACAAAAATGGTGAATAAGTTGAAACTGTTTGTTCTACACCTGAAATTGATAATTAACTTCTAAATTATCATCTATTAGAATAATCAATCATCATCATACTTGTCTTTTAAACATGCATTCTCGAATTCTCTATTTTAAGATATGTAATTATCATCTTAATTCAAGATAATTTACATAATTAATTTGCGTTAATCTAATTTATAGTATATTGCATGGGCGTTACATAAGCTTTGATTGTATTGTCAGTTGTCAATATCTAAATTTGTTATTTTGTCAGTTGCAATTATCTAAAGTTGTATATATTATATATATTATATTATATTTATATATATATATATTATTAGAATCTTAAAAAAAAAACATGTACCAACAACAAAGAAAGAATACACATTATATATATATTAGAATCTAAAAACATGTACCAACAACAAAAGAAAGAATACACATATTAATATTTAATGGATAACAAGAATCATTTAACTTGTAATTAAATAGAAGTGGGGACATTACACAACAAATATTTCTTGTCGGTTTTGGTCAACAAAGTTACACTATGAATATGACGATGTTTGGTGCTCTTCTGCTGCGTCTTTTAGTGACTTCAAATATTATGTTACTTTTGGATTCATCTTCCTAAATGAAATCGGATGTTGATGATCTTTTTTATTACTTTTCACAAAAGTATAATTTAAGTGTTGGTCTTGGTTACCCATCAGAACCCTATACATTATTAATAAAAGATGTATATTAAAATATTTTCGGATTTGGATAATTTAAAATTTATAAATATTTTATTTATTGAAGATGTTGTATTTCAAATAAATTTTGAATGGGTACATATAATAAATATTAAACGGGTTTAAAAATGAATATTTAAACATGTTTGGGATGGATATGTGTAGTAAAATTCTAAATAGATAAAGATATAGATAGCTCAAAATTTACGGACACTCTCACTGCTTTTATCCCTATGTGAACCATAAATTTAAGTAATTTTTCAAAGTATGGGTTTATAATAAGAAAATAATTCAAACTAGACAAAATTTTTTTGTAAAAATCAATAATTGAATTTAATATGGAAAGTCTATCCTATAAAAGTAACCACAACATGATTAATTAATAAAATAATATTTTTTGCTGATAAAAAAAAAAACCGGTTAACCGAGCTTCCAATTGCATATAACTAATGAAAAATTCATTTTTCATACGTATATTTATGTTTATCACACCCAACATGTAATTAATAAACAAATATAACTAAAAATTATCAATTATGTGGTGATCTAATTGGTCTTCTCACCTATATAAAGAGTGAAATGTTTCGATTTTGAGTTCTCTCAACTATAGTTATTTTCACCAATTTAATGAGTCAATAAGAGGACTACTCTCTATCGTGTTTGAAATTCTTAACTAGTCAATAAGAGGACTGCTCTCTATTGTGTTTGAAATTCTTAACTGGGCAAGTACAACAAAATTAAATAAATATTGGAAATAAAATAATTCTCCCTCAATTTCATTTTAATAGTAACATTTGATCTTTTTTCACAAATGATTAACAAAATGATTACATTGATTTTCTAAAAAATACAATAAAATGTTTAAATTATGTTTCTTAAAATTAAAAGCTCTCCATTTAATTTGGCTTCAAAATAACTAATAAATATTAAAATTAGAAAAAAATAATTAATACTCTCAAAATTCTAAATAAACACTTAAAGTGAAACTTAAAGCGAAACTAAAAGCGAAACAAGATAAAATCTCTATTTGTTGCTATTAAAGTGTAACGGTGGGATTACATTACACTAACACTATACATAAAGTTCCTTCTAAAAAAAAACACTATATATAGAGTTTATGTTAATTAAGTTTGATGTCTCTAATACGTCGTGCCCTCACTAAGAGAATAAAATTAAAGTTATATATAAATTTAGATCTTCCCCAATACCCATGTAAAATAAGAAAAATTCATTGCGTGGGAGCATAATATAATTCTAATCTAACGAGCAGGAATACATCTATTTCAGTGTCATAAAAAGATAACACATCTGTTAAACCAATTTGCCAAAATGATATTGGCTGTATACATCGATAATATTTTAATAATGTTTTCATGCATTATTTGAACAAATCAAAAGCAAATGGGTAAAAATAAAATAATAAAAAAGAAATGACATATTTCGGAAAAGCATTGAATTAAACTTAATTTTTACAAGCAAATTTTTACATGCGGGATTTTTTTTTAACAAAAAAAAAAAAAAGAAAACCCAAATACATTTATTTATTCAGATGCAGTTTTGCTCATGCCACTGTCTTATTAAACCAAAACAGGCATACATATTAATTATATGCATCAGGATTTGCCAAAGCATAAGCTTCATAAGCCTTGAAAATTTCATAAAAGACTTGAGTGTTCTGTTCTAGACCAGCCCTAACTTCCTCTTCGTTTACTTCAACACCATTGATCGTATAGCTCTTACCGCTGCGTGTGGCAATGGTTCCGCCATTAGGAGTTGCTTCAAACTTAAGTTGGAAAGACATTTTCTCAATTATACTTGTATCTATGAGAGCAGGATGGCCTCCGATTAAGGAATAGTGAAATGTGAAATTCTCTCTATCCAACAAATCAACCGTAGTAATGACATGAGGTGATGGACTGCCTGAAGATTATAAAATTAATTTGAAAATTGTCTAAATAATGTTATATATGAATTCCAAAATACATAGTAAGTAGAATACTAACCGTCGCCAAAGGTAATTTTCCTGACAGTACCAGGTCCTCCATCTCCTTGAAGAGTTTCAAATCTCTGAACAGCTTCAGGCTGCACCTTGGAGATACTGGTATCAGATTCAAGGACAAGCATCCTGAAGAGTTTGGCTGGTGGGAGTGAGCTCTCAATTTGGCCTTCATAAGTCACAATACCCATTATGCTTTAAATAACTGAGACTAGCTAAAAATATAGATATGATAAGAATTATAAAGAGGTTTGCAGGGGGCAAATGTAACACCTCCCTGACTCTGCTATTTATAGTTAAATATTTGCTTAGATAATTAGGGTTTGGAATTGATTATAGTTAAACATTTATCCATTCAGACAAGTACATGGACCAAACAACTATGCACAATAGGGTTGTGCCCGATTTCATAAAAAAAATGAATAGTACAGAATTCAGTTTCGGTTCCATCTGTTATCAAGAGCTGAACTCAAACTGTATTGAAGAATCTTTTAATATATATATAGTTTAATAACTAAAAAACCTGAACTTTATCATTTTTTGCAATTTTAATTAGTTCTTTTAATCCATCATAGTAATGAACTTATTTTTTTAAAGCAATTATAGCCTCCATCCAAGAACTATTATAGAAGTTTGCTGATGTGGCATTAATGGACTCTACATATCGCCACCTCAATGCTACGTGGACATATAGTCATCATGGAAAAAGGTTTAATGGTTAAAAAGGACATGAAGTTTTCTTTTAAAATTGATTTAGTTTTGCAAGCTGCAGTACTCAATAAAATTATTTTGTAAATTGAAGTATTTAATTGTGTGATTTTATAAGTTGAAGTGTTTGATAGGTTAAAATAAAAGTTGAGGGTGCCACAAGTTAAAGTAATAAAATATATGAGTGAATTTTTGTTTCTGCCTTTTGTTATTAATTTCTTTTATAAGTATTTAATAATAAATATGAGATATAAGTTGAAACTATTTGAATTATTAAAGTAGTGAGAGTATGAGGATTTATTTTTTTCTTTTTCTTTTTTTCTTGAAGAAAAAGTTATGAGTTGGTGATATATATACAGCTATCTCTTTTATCATTTGAATAACAATGTAAAAAATAATAAAAACAAATTATTATATTTAAATATAATTCTTCTTGATTTATGAATAAAATATTTATATAAAAAAAATGAAGTACAAACTAATTATGCTCTTAATAGCACAAGATAACAAACAAATAATGATTAACGACAAATAATTAAATAAGTATCAGCAGTTATGTGAGTGGTCGTGAGAGTGGTCCCAGTTTGTAGGGGTGTACATGGGTTGGATTGGGCTAGAAATTCATAATTTTCAGTCTCATCTCAAAATATCGGGATGTAAAAAATGGAGTTTCAATTTTATCCTACTAGATATGTAGTTCCGTCTCTTTTCGTCCTATTTTTTAAAACGGGACGGGACGGGAGAATGGATGGAAATTCGGATCTACGGGACAAGACGGAATGAGTAGGATCGAAAATTAATCGGGATTTCCCGCAATCTTACTAAATTATTTTTCATCAAAAAATGATAAAAAAAATTACTATATTCATCGATTACAATCAAACAAAATTCATTTATATAAGTTTGAGTTTAAAAAAAGAAGAATAAATCAAATAATTATTCAATCATTAATGATCTACAACTAATGTTACAATAGAAGATTTTTAAGTAGTTATTTTCTAGTTAATAAAAGCGTTAAATATAATAAAATAAAATAATGCAAAAATTACATACAATTTAATTTTATTTACATTTTATGAATTTTAACTCGTCATTGTTTTGTAGAGATTTTTAAGTAAGTTATTCAGTTAATAAAAGCCGTTAAATAATATAATAAAATAAAATAATGCAAAAATTACATACAATTTAATTTTATTTACATTTTATGAATTTTAACTCGTCATTGTTTTTGTCACTATTGTCTTTAAGCTTATTTAAATTCGATACTTACATAATTTAATCTTGAATACCATTTGAAAAATAAATAATGAAAGCATTAAGCATATCCAGAAAAATAAATAATGAAAGCATTAAGCATATCCAATAATAAGATTAATTGAAGTTAATATTTTCTCTTAATTTGATTAATCTTTCTATGTTTTGTTTAATAAAAAAGATTTATTAAAAAAATTTACTCAACACATATTGTGGAATAATAGAAGAAAAATCTATGTTGAAAATTATGTTTAAAGAAAAAATAGAATGGAAATTCTCGATTTTGGGCCAAGACGCAATGTGACAAAATTTGGGCCGGTACGGGTCAGTTTTAATCAAAGAATCAGTGTCGTCCCATAAATGTTTTCAGGACGGGACTAAGAAATTAATCTCTTGCAATGAGAAATTTAGGACGGTTTTCAGGAATGGGTCGAGATTTCCGCAATCCCATGCACACCCCTGCTAGTTTGTAAGTCAAAATGGGTTGTTATGGCAGCCTCCCTGTTACTATGTTCAAATCATTCAACTTAATTGTGTATATGGTTTATAGGGGATCCATTAACCGCTTAAAATGTATCATCAAAATTTAAATCCAAACTCATCCTTAACCTATTTAGAAATTCTTTTTTATTACTCAAGTTTATCGTAAATTCCATCATAATACCTAATTAAGACTCGAATCTAATTTTAATAACATTAGTTATAAATTTTTTTATTTTTTATTCTCAAAAATAAAAAATAAATAAAAATTATAAAATTCTATTTTGGCTTTGATAATTATAGTACTAATTATAATTAGAAATTAAAATACACTTATAATTGTTTTTTTTTTTTGAAAAATAATTTTTTTTAGTATTTGTAGAATATTAATGAAATGAGTAATCGGTAGAGTACTCAAGTCATTGAACAAGAACTTGAATCAAATTCAGTGGCGAAGTTTGAAATATTTTTTTAGTAAAGTCATTTTAATTTAATTTTTAGTGGGATCACTTAGACAAAAACTCTAAATTTTTTTACTTAATATACACTTTTTTAAACTTTTGTTATCAATTCAATCTATTTGATGAAATTCCGAAGCAAAGCAGGAATTGTATCGGAGATTATGAAGTAAAGCAGACATTGTATCCGGTAACCAACTCTATAGAGAATCTAATGTGTTCCTTGGTTCTCCAAATATGCTTGCAATTTGGATACTGATCTACACAATTTTGTCTTTCTCCCTACAATTCTTAACTAGGTTATCAATAGGGACCTACCAAACATAATAGGAGTTTCATTCCCTCATAGTTGCCTCCTGTACCAGAAATGCTTGTTGCTTAATTATTATGTAAACACTGTTGCTGTTCATTTGATATAGGATTGTTGTTAATTAGTTGCTTTCTCTCAGTTATTATCTTATTCATGGATGCTATTCTTTGTGATTGTGCTGCTTGATTATGAAGTTGATGTGGTTGTGCTGCTTGTTATGCACTATTGAAATTTTTGCATTGTTAGGTTAGGTGAAATTAAATATGAGCAATGAAATCAAATGTTCTAGTATATATACTGGATTGCAATAGTAGCATTAAAATCATATCGTCACAACATTTTCTTCAACTACTAGAGTCCCAGAGATTTGCTATATTATTTGTGCTGCAGAGAGTGGAGGAAGGTACTGTTGCTTTAGAAGGAGAGAGCTGTTGAGAAAGGTTTTTCTCTTGCATATTATATTAGACTTTGGCTTTGTTTAGCTTTTCCATATCTTCTCTGTCTCTTTTCTGGGTTTGTATGTGAACAACCGGCGGCTTGTTTGCACCATCTCCATTGGCTGTTAACGGTGGATGAGGGTAAAAGAAATCTGTAGGAAAAAAGTAATACTGAAGACCAGCCATTGGTGAAACTTGTGATTGTTGTGAGCTAAATTGAATGAACAATTTAATCTGATAGCATAGAGCTATAAAAAGTTTGTATTGGTTTTTAAAATTTTTAAGTGCTTGATTGAATTGGTTGCATTTAGATTTGGGATAATTATATCTTTGGTATCTAACCTTTTACATTTTTTCTATTTTGATGTCTCAATAGAAAACGGTAACGATTGAGTGTTTGAATTTGTAAAACTTTACAATTAGGTATCTCCAGATGACTTGGCAAACCGAAAAAAATGATTATGTACCTATAGGACCCAATTTTTATGATATGTCAATTGACTTGGTGACAAATTGCTTGACTTTTTGCCATATAACGCCCTGCTGACATGAAATTAGCTTGAAATTCTCATTATGGTCTCCATTAATTGTATTCCGCCTACCTACTAGTGATCAAATGTTGCAATTTCCCATTCAAAAATAATTACCTTGACTACTAGTGAGAGTCATCGAGACCCAGAAGGAGAAAATGCAACAGAAAAAGAAAAAAGATATTGAGGCAAGATAAGGTTCAAGGGTTTTATTGGCAGAGATCTTATTGGCTTTCGATTTTAAGGGTCTTGCCCTTATCGTCCGATGGCTGGAGTGTAGGACAGCGATAGTGGAAAGTGAGCTCTTGCCTGTTATGCATGAAATAGAAATCTTTAGGGACTATATATAGTAGGTAGACTATAAATACGACGACGTTTAGTAGCAGCTTATTTGAGTAGACTACTGACGCTCTCAGTCTTACCCTTTTTCAACCTTTTGACTTGCAAGAACTAGAAGCAACAACCGAAAACACCATGGTAGAAGACAAAGCAAATAATAAACAAGAAGGAACATAAACCGAAGAGCGAGATCAAGTGGTAAATCCATGGGAGGTTTCGGCTAAAAATGGGGGCGAAATCGATTACGAAAAACTAATTGACAAATTTGGATGTCAAAGACTGGACCAATCATTAATCGACTGTGTCCACCGCCTCACCAACCGTCCTCCTCATGTCTTTCTCGGCGTCTTTTTTGCTCATAGAGATTTCAATGAGATATCAGATGCTTATGAAAAATGCCAAAAGTTCTTATCTTTATACAGGCAGATGCCCTTCCTCAGAATCCCTGAAATTTCCATTTAGTTTTGATGACATAACAATTTCGAGAGTGGTACAATTGTTTCCAGCAAAAGCAATATTGGTGTTTCATGTTTAATTGCATTTCATCCTTATTGCAGCAGAAAGAAATTCCAAGAACTGAAAATTGAAGCACAATGTGATAGAGGCAGTTAATGAACTGATTGAAGATATTAATACTTGCCATGAATAGATAGCAGAACAAGCGGTGGAGCTTATTCATCAAAAGTATTTACAACCATCGGTTCAGATT